GTGGTAGAGGCTGCAGCTAATAAACCTTGTTGGATTGAATCTGCATGGTCTCCTGGAGTTCCCTGGGCTAAACCTGACATCAATCTTCCCAGACTGAAACCTCAGTTCCCAAAGTCAGCCAGTCAGAACAGAGTGAATTCCTCAGGGAGGTGCCAGCCTCATCCACTTATCTCTTCCCCGAGCTTTGGGAGATGAAAGAGCATTCTTTACTCCCTGATTCTGGCCCCCACAATTCCAGTCCATCACAGTGAAGTCCAAATGTGCCCTTATAATAGTCAATATCTCCTAGTATTTCCAAACTGGATTTCAAATGACACAAACTATAATTTTTCTCCTCTAAATACTTCATCCCATTTATAGTGCTTATGTTTCCATGTGTTGTCAAATGTGCCGTTACACATTTTTGGAAATTGGCATAATTTACAAAAAGCATACAGATTCACTGTGTTATTAGTTTGGATAGAAGATTAATAATATTCTGTCTTATTAACTCAACATTGTACACAGAGTATTCTTTTTCACATTTTGTCAATTAGTATTTATTATTTAACAAAACTCTATTTTTTTTTTTGGTTTCAAGCTGTAGTCAGTAAACACTTTCTGATGAGGCATTTGGGGTTTGGTATTAAGCAACTGTGCTGTCATGTTTCTAAAGTCATAATTGTATTTTCTGCAATAAATACAACAATAATTCTTTTTCAATAATTAAACTAATTTAGTAAATTCAAGATGGAGGCGCTTTCCTACTGATTATGCTTCCACCTCAGAAGATGAATTTGGATCAAACCGTAATTCTCCTAAACATGCCCGTCTACGTACTTCTCCAGCCCTGAAAACTACTCGAATGCAGAACATTGGAACACCAACACAAAGTAGCAATACCTTCAAGCATAGGATAAAGGAACAGGAGGACTACATTCGTGATTGGACTGCTCATCGAGAAGAAATAGCAAGGTTGGCTTTCCAAGAAATAACAACTCTGTGAAAAGCAGAAGACATTCATTACAACCTCTTCTTCACCTATAGTAATTTTGGTACCATCGGGAGGAGTAGCAATGTCAGGTGCAACCCACAATGATGCCAAAATGGCAACATGCAGTGATGTTATCATGCAAATGCTGTCTTTATTGACTTGTGTCCTGACATCTGATGCAAGTACATAAGTTTTTGCATGACATCATTGTGTACAAGTTGTTGTCCTCCCCATCCTCCTACAGGTCCTTATGAGAAGTAATGCAGAAAACTTTCAATTTAGTTAAACAGAAATGTATTGATTATGTAACTGGTTTGTTTGAAGTAAGTCAATGTCACAGCATGGATTGCTATGAGGGCTACACTTGGCCTTGAGTGATTTTCTGAAGATTTCCTCCACAAAAGAGGATTGGGACAAGATAAAAAGTAAATATTATTTCCTTTAAATGTAATTGAAATAACTTACGCTTATTTAGATAGTATGTTTACACCCCAAGTATTTAATATTTTGCCCTGTCACATTAAACATTACAATTTGATGGCAATTTTGGAGGTGTGGGAGGAGGTATTTCATGAAAGTTTTGCATGGCTCCCCCTGGCACCTGAGCTTGACCCACTCACTGTAGAAATTAAAGTGCTGTAGTCCCCCATGTCCTTCTCCCAGTCTGTCTAAGTGAACAGAGGAGCTCTGCACGTGCCCCTTACAGTGGCTATTTGCTTTTTGCAATTTTTTTCTTGGGCAGGGGAATAAAGCGAAACTGAAGTAATGATTGGTGTGGAATAGGAAGCTGACTGGATAGTGATTTTTGTGTTCCCCGAGTGATCCACTAGAGGAGGTTCTTGTCATCTGTTTCAGCATTCTCAGCATTTCAGCATTGATAGTGATCACGTTTTCACACTGGGAAAATGATGGAGGGTTTGGAATATAAAATGTGTGAATTTGAGAAAGTGCCCTATGTTCATTCTTACATAATGAAGTATTCACAATATTAGATTTTTTAACTCAAAATGATTAATGTCGTATGAATTGAAACCAAGATTTTTGAATAATCAGTATTCTAGTCACTTTCGTATAACTCCAGAGTTATCATTTATACTGTTATTATTTTTAACAAAGTTACTGTTTATATTCTGCCTTCCATGCAGAACCATGATCCTATGATAAATTAAGACAAGGGAAGGCAGACTACACAAGGCTCCCAAATTTCCTTTTTTTCCAGTCTTCAAAAGATCTCTGTATATAGTCTGCCAACATTCTTGTGGTTCATCCCTGCTGCAGTCCTTTTCCATTTCCCCTCACCCCAGGTTCTAGTCCTCTTTTTTTAAGTCTGCACCAGTTCTGATGTTGTATAGGTACATCACCAAAATGATGATGATGACTGTAAGATAGTAAGTGGGCTTCATGTGTCCCAAGAAAGCAACCCTTAGTTTCCAGTGCCCCTTTTGCAGCCTTTAGAGATTCCCTGCCCCCATTTGGTAAGACAAAGTTTGGGGGAGATTTTTTCCCCCTTTTTTATTGTTGTCCTCATTATAATTAAAGAATGGCTGAGGGTGATCATTTCATCCTTTAAAAAAACAAGCCTAAAACTTGGGGTTCTTTTTCAGTTTTGGGAGGAAATTAAGAAGCAAAATGGATGCCTTAAGAGGCCTCTTAACCTCCTCCTCCTC